ATGTATTGGTGAATTGAGTTGATGCATCGCAAGCATTAACTCCCTCATTTGCTCTTGTATTTGTGCCATTGCACTCTTCATTTCAACAAGCTCTGCCATAATGACACTAAGAAAAAAAATTTGTTTGATACTGCTCAAGACAAAAGAAAAGAAAGACTTGATAACAAAGAAGATACTAAGAACAATATCAGTTTAGAAGTGGGTAATCCGCAAACTTCTAATACGCTTATGTCTTGTCTAGAGAAAGGGGTAATCCACTCTCACTCAAGAAAAATAAAGCTCTGATATTGTAAGTGTACTCTTGTCAATCTGTCAAGGACAAAGACTCGATGAGGGAAAATATACACAAAAAGGCTATCTCGATATAATAAGTCAAAATATAAACAAGTAGGTATATGAAAAAGAAACTGGAATGGCTATTGCCACAAGACAAGAAACTAAAGACTCTTGAACCTCGACTAGAAGCAAGAAAGGAGTTGACAAGAGTGAAGAAGCCTTCACTCTTGTCTCTATATATACTATCTAACTAAGGGCTACGTGGCGACGTTCTATAGGACCTCCACTATGTGTTGACTTTGTAGGACACATGCCTTGACTTACAAGGCAAGTTTTTCTACGTGTGGGCCACATAGTTAGCTTGATCTTCAAGCTAACAACATGTGTGGCACATGGCCAACAGGTTGACCACGTTTCTAATCCAAAAAGTCAATTAAAGACACCTATGAAGTCAAAGCAGCGTCTAGGAAGTTTTTAGGAAGCTTCTATATTAAATATTATAGAATTAACTTACTTTTATCTACTTTTACTTACTTCTACCTATTTCTATATGTAATTATTAGCTTACATGATTATGGCCGTGACAACATTTTGGATACAATAAGACTTTTGAACTAATAGCAAGAGATTTTTGGTGGCTTTAAATGTAAAAATAAATTAAATAATTTTTAAAATTATAAGATATTTGTTCAAGATCAATAATTCTTCATCATCAACTTTATAGACTTTTTTAGCCATTATCTATTCCAAAACAATTATAGTCTTCTGTTTCTATGGATTTTATTGTAGATCTTTTAGTTTCAAGTTTTGTATGATTTTATATTTATGATAGTAGATTATTTTAATAATATGGCATATTTTATATTATATATAAAATATATTATAAGTAAAAAAATAGCTAAGTTTTTTTTTTACAATATCTATTGCTATCATAGATTACTTAAAGATATTATATCAAATAAGTAGATTCAATTTGTATCAAGATTTTAAAGAATCCTTTTTAAGATTCTAAAGATAGATATAAAACTCTCTTTGGCTTTTCATCTTTAAATTAATGGACAAATAGAATGGATGAATGAAGTTATAGAATAGTACTTGAAAAGTATTATCAATTGTCATTTAGATGATTTGACAAGTCTTTTTCCATTGGCAGAGTTTGCATATAATAATTTGATATATTTTCTATTTAACAAATATCTTTCTTTGTCAACTACAATTAGTATCCATGACTTGATATTTTTGACTTTTCAAAATTTGATAATCCTACAACAAAAGATTTGGTGAATTATTTGTCAAAGCTACATACAACAATAAAGGCGCAGTTAAAAGAAGCTCAAGAATGACAAAAGATCAATACACATGCCTATTACAAGGAACAACCACAATTCAATATAGGCAGCAAGATATGTCTATTTTATTACAATATCAAGACTATTTTTCCGTATGATAAGTTGGACTATTATAGGCTTGGACCTTTTTCCTATTTGTGAACAACTCAATCTTGTTGTTTATTGATTATATCTATCAAAGTCTATAAAGATCTATCTTGTATTCTATAAGTCTTTTATTGAGCCATATAAGATAGTGAATATCTCAAGAAAGAAACAAATGCCACTTCTTCCTATAAAAGTGAATAATAATCAAAAATTTGAAGAGGAAGAAGTTTTAGATTCAAAGCAATGCCAAAATAGATTAAAATATCTTATTCATTGAGAGAGATATGATATTAATAAATATATATGGAAAATAAGAAAGAATCTTATAAATATAATAAAAAAAATTGAAGTATTTCATTGACAATATCTATCAAAATCAAGATGAAAAATAATAAATCTTTGCTATAAAAGAAATAAAATTTAAAAAAGATAGAATTCTACCTTCTATTCTTGTTTGTAATTTTTGTGTATTTTTTATACTAAAGAAATGGAAAATTAACAACCAATAGATTCGACTCAAGAGCTATGACTTGCTGATTTATTGGATGAGACATTATAATCATCACAACCTTTAAGACAATGTACTCGAGATGAAGATCCTCAAGAATGACATGTCTTTCTTCAAATAGATGGTATCACGACCTTAGAAGAGACTTCCAATGTTTGGTCATTATATTAGATGTGGAAACAACTTCTAATAGTGTTCCAAATATTTTAATTGTAAAGAGTTACAAAGGCTTCAATAACAATCAAATAACAAGGTGGTCTTCTTCTCTTGGTATATATCAAAGACATACAATTCAAAGAAAGAAATCCTCAATACACTCTTATATCACTCAAAAGGACTAAAAATTCACTCAAAGATGATATAATATAAAACTAGAATGGCTATTGTTAAAGACAAAAAGTCTAAAAAGTCTTGAAAGAAGACTAAGAACTAGAAAGGCATTGATAAGGATGAAGAAGGCTTCACTCTTGCCTCCATATATACTCTTAACTATGAGCTACGTGGCAATATTCTATAGAACTTTCAAAATGTGTTGACTTTGCAAGACATATATCTTAACTTGGAAGGCAAGTTCTTTATATTTATACCACATAGTTAGCTTGTTCTACAAACCATAAATATGTGATTAATTTATTGACCAAGTTTCTATCCTATCATTCAACTACAAACACATGTAAAGTCAAAACAACGTCTATGAAGCTTTTAAGAAGCTTTTCTAGAAAATATTATGAAATAAATCTACTTTTATCTATTTCTATTTAATCATATAGATAAATATTATAGTAAATATGTATGTTTATGACAGTATGAGACACTATAAATGGCTCAGAGGACCTATCAACCATCTTCAAAGAAAACAATAATCAAAGTATGTTGCAAATATAATTTGATGCATCTTGAATTTCTTTAACATTTGATGATTGCTTCTCATGGAACCCATTTGTAGAAAGAGGAGTAATATCATGGACATGTATATTTACTCTAATATTTATCTATATGATTAAATATAAATAAATAGAAATAAATTTATTTCATAATATTTTCTAAAAAAGCTTGTTAGAAGCTTTATAGACATTCTTTTGACTTTATATGTGTTTATAGTTGATTAATAGGTTAGAAACTTGATCAACAAATTAATCATATATTAATAGCTTATAAACTAAGCTATCTATGTGACACATATAGAAAACTTGCCTTACAAATTAAGATATGTATTTTACAAAGTCAACATGTTTTGGAGGTCCTATAAGATATTGCCACATAGCTCTTAATTAAAGGTATATATGGAGGCATGAGTAAAGCCTTTTTTATTCTTATCAATGCCTTTCTTCTTGCTAGTCTTATTTCAATATTTTTTTTGTCTTCTTGCCTTTTGCAATAGCCATTCTAGTTTAATACTATATCATCTTTGAGTGATTTTCTTGTATTTTTGAATGACACAAGAGTGTATTGACATTTTAGTTCTTTGAGGTTCATGTCGTTGATAATTTGTTAGATTTTAAATATAATATACTAAAATTTATTGTATCAAATAGTATTTTATTAATATTTTATTTATTATTAATTTAAAAATTATAGTTTGAAATATTATATTTTGTAATCTTTAATTTAGTCTTTATTTTTTAATTTTTTAATTTATATATATTTATATATATATATATATATATCTTTTATATTATATAATTTTTTATATTTCAAGTTAATATAAAAAATTACCATAATTTTAACAATTTAATTTATTTTTTAAATTTTCTACTATAATTTTATTAACTTTTGATAGTAAATTTTGATAATAATGATACTAAATACATATATTTATAAATAATATAGAATATAAATATAAAAATAAAATACATAATACATAATATGTTTCTATTACATAAATTAAATAAATTTTATTTTTTATAAGAATCTAATTAAATCTAAAAATAGATAAAATAAATTATTATAATCCTAAAAATATAAATATCTTCATAGTTTTTATTTAAATAAGATCAAATCCAATATTTTATATATAAATTGGCTAAGAATTTAATTATGTCAATGGACATGTAATATAAGATGTGATTAATAAGTAGTATGTAATACTTAAAGCTAGAGAAAAGACTTCAATTTTTTTTTTTTTTTTTTGTCTAATCCCTAAATTTTGTTGAAATTTGGTATAGAGAATTATTTTGCATATTCTAATGGCACCTTATATTTCAACTTTGTCCATGACATAGATCTTTACATAATTTATAAATCCTAACTAACCTAACTAACCTTGAGTTGTCAAATTTTGGCATATTTTTGTACATATGGACAAAAACATCCAAATTATATCATCAAAATAATATAAAATACAACAAGCATATGCACTCTTAATAATTTTCAAGGAAACACTTCCCTATTAAATAGTCACATCCTTTTAACCTGAATTCCAAGTAGATTATTTCTCTCAATTGCTTCTTCCAATCTAACATTTCAACTATACATAATACATAATTCACTATGGCAGGGCTGCTTAGAATCTAGCACCCACTTACAAACAATGAGCGAATGAATGAATAGATGAATGAATGGCGCTGTGAAAGCTATTCGTTGCTGACATGGACCAGATGAGGCTTCGTCAGCATTGACGTGGCAGAACCTCCACTCCAGATCAGCCCCGGAAGCCCAGACGACGTGGCGTCCGACCGCCACATCGATTCAGCCATCCACACAGTTACATCTGTCCACATTTACATTCACATCCATCAATTAATTTATTCATCCACAGAGTTAGGGATTATCTCATTCCAAGGCTCGTCCTGTGGATCGTCAGGAATGTTGGTTCCCAGCGGGTGTGTTTGTGAGTGTGTGTGAGTGTGGGTTGTTACGAGTAATCTGCCCCTCGATGCTGTCTCTTGCCCTGCCAGGCCTCTCTCTCTGTCTCTATCTGTCCACGCCACGGTTTTCCTCAACACCCGATTTTCTTCCCGGAAGTGTTTTTGTCATTTGATTTGGTTATTTGTAGGGGATACTCGGAAATTAGGGTTTGATCATTTTATGTGGATCACGTGAATCTACGAAGCTTGAATCGTGTCGCAAATTCGGAAGGACTCTCGATTCTTTGGGTTGTGGGTTTGAGGGGTTGGGTTGGCTTAGGGTTCGGTGGGTTGGTTGGTTATTTGGTTGAGCTGGCTGGTGGTGGGTGAGGATTTGCTGTTGGGGCAGGTGAGGTTTTGGGCGAAGCAGAATTTGGAAAGATTTGGAAGGAGGTGGAGTATTCTGAGAAGGAAGAGGGAATTCTCTTTGGGGGTTGGTTTTAACGGGACATACTGGTGACGTCTTCGCGATATTTTATGAGCTTCTTAATTGTACTATGATTCTCGATTGCAATCGATTGAAATTTGGGGGAGAAGAGGTTTCTCTCTGATTATGGCGTGGCGTCTATTGATGCATGAGGTTAGTTTTGGAAAATTCGTATTTGCGAATTGTAGAGGCTTCTCTTGGTTGTTTTGAAGGGTCTATGTCCCATGGGATGTTGTGCTTTGCTGATGAATAATTAGGTTAGGTAGTTTCTGCTCCGCTGCTTACTGGGCATTGGATTTGATTATCCTTCTGAATCTAAACAAAGGTATATGGATTAGTGTATGATGATTTGATGATGTAATTGAATCGTATTTTATTTAGGTTACATGACTCTTTGTGTTTTGGCACTCCATCATGAGGATCACACCTCTAAGTATGAACACCTTTAGATGGACCTTGAATTTAGTAATTTTTTTGTTTCAGGGTAGTCATGTTTCAAAGCAGTTGGCGACATCGAATGCACTGGCAGGCTTGGGGAGCCACTTGAAGTTATCATTGTATCAACTTCGTTTGCAAGCCATCAGTATTGAAAATGAAGGTGATTGCATTTCATGATTTATCGCTTTGGAAGATTTTTGGTCATGAAGTGCAGCGGTGTATTTAACATAGTTTGGTTTTTGAAACAAGAGTTACAGGGTGAAGAGCTCTGACTGGGGTTTCCGACTGTCTCTCGCCTCTATTACGGGCTGATAGGCGTTCTTAGTAGCATTTCACAGCGACTAGATCGTGTGCCTTTTTGCTGGTGAAGTAGCTCTTGTAGTTGTCTTCCGTTATATGAAGGCAATCTAAATCTCTTTTCACAGCCGGATTACTTTCAATATTATTATTAGATTAGGTTTTCTTCTCGAATTTTTAAAGCTGATATCAACTCATACTAACTGTCTAATAAATACCTTCAAATATCTCTGGGTTGCCTTTTTAGGTGTTGATGTGTTTAAGCTTGCGGTGATTGTGCATTGAGGATCTGTCTGCTGCACAGTTTGGGAGTTCAGAAAGAGCAACGCTCACACACTAGCTTCAGTTCCATACATCCCCCCAACTGCAGTGGGGTGTGCTGTTTATGGAATTAGACAGCCCATTTTGTGTTTTTGGTTGACGGGATGGTTTATTCGTTTTGCGCAGGCCGTAGATTGTTGGGTTGTCAAAGGAGACAAATGTCTAGCTACACCAGTAATTATGCTCGGAGGTTAGAACACGCAGAAGGTGGAAGTAAATTGGGTTCTGAGGACAAGCAAGTTAGTCTCTTGAAGCAATTGAATAAGGTAGACCCGGAAAGTGTCATTCAATGGTTTGAGAGTCGTCCTTCTTCACATCACAGCTCTGCTGCAATGGCAGAGTACGTGAAGGCTCTGGTGAAGGTTGATAGGCTCGACGAGAGCGCTCTCCTAAGAACTCTGCAACAAGGCAAGTATTTACATTTTTCGAACTTCTGGGTAGCTTTTATTTACAATTTCTTTTATCATAGCTAGCCCATTAATTTGTGTGCTGGTGGCAGTTCGGCTGTGAAATTACATACAGGGTCATTTATTCTTCACTACCAAGGAATATCATGTCCGGTGACGTCTGAGTGCAATTAACCTTAGATATTTTAAAGCTTTGGTCTCTTTAACTTTTGAAGCTTTTATCTTATGTTCTATTACTGTTGTTCCTTAATCTCATAGTTTGTTTTGGCTGTCCGTAGACCTGGATCATTATTCCTCTTGTGCCTTACATTGCTGGTCTTCTGGGTGAGCAGGAGCAGCAATCGCTGGCAATGGAATGAGATCTGAAACCAGCATGAACGTGGCATCAACTGCAGCTCCTGTTTTAGGTAGTGCAGGTGTGATGACAAAAGAGGGGTTGTTAGGTACTCCACAAGCTCCTATCCACATGGTCACTGCAGAGGGTGGGCTTAAAGTGCAAGCTTGGCGAACATTACGTACCTTGGCCCTTGGTTTCTTGCTGATATCAGGGGTTGGAGCTTTGATTGAAGATCGTGGTATTGGAAAAGGTGGATTTCTGCACATTTTTGTCGCCGCTCACAAATATAATTTGTATCTTTCTGAGGTATTCCGTTTCTTCTTTTTATTTATTTAGAGATGGATTCTAGTGAGTAAAATGTCACCAGGATTGAGTGTCTCATGTAAACATTGTCGTGGTCTCAGGTCTGGGCTTGAATGAAGAGGTACAGCCAAGCATGGAGTCAAGTACCAAGTTCAGTGATGTCAAAGGCGTGGATGAAGCCAAAGCCGAACTTGAAGAAATCGTTCACTATTTACGTGACCCTCAGGTATATTTTAGTACACTCATGGATGTAGTAGCATGTGGTTACTTCCTTTGTGGATAGTGTGCGTTGTAGTTGTGTGTCGAAGAGACTAATTCTTTGTCACTGTTGCATGCAGAGGTTTACAAGTTTGGGTGGTAAGTTACCAAAGGGAGTACTATTGGTTGGGCCGCCTGGTACGGGGAAGACTATGCTGGCTAGAGCTATAGCTGGGGAGGCAGGAGTTCCATTTTTCTATTGTAGTGGAAGTGAATTTGAAGAAATGTTTGTAGGTGTTGGTGCGCGACGAGTACGGGACCTATTTTCTGCAGCTAAAAAACGGTAATGATTATCCCCCTCTGTTTTATTTTTATTCAGACTTGTAGTAAGGAAAGCGTGCTGTGTATTTTTGTATGCGGTCTTGTATGATCATGATTTTTTCATTTGGCATCATTTGTTCATCCATTTGACTTTATTGCAATTCTTCTTGACGCACAGTTCATTTCATTGTCTAATTGATTTTCGACAAGAGAATACAGCGTAAACAGCAGATTTGCATACCAATCCAGATTAGCATATGCGTTTCTAATTACGTTAATCATGGTTTGTTGCAGGGCACCGTGCATTATATTCATGGATGAGATAGATGCAATTGGAGGAAGCAGAAATCCCAAAGATCAGCAATATATGAAGATGACTTTGAATCAGCTGCTGGTAGAGTTAGATGGTTTTAAGCAGAATGAGGGTATAATTGTTGTTGCTGCAACAAATTTTCCCGAATCTCTTGACAAAGCATTGGTACGACCAGGTCGATTTGATCGGCATGTTGTGGTCCCTAATCCCGATGTTGAAGGACGTCGCCAAATCCTGGAAGTGCACATGAGCAAGGTGCTACATTGTTCGCAATGTCATTCTTTTTCCATAATATATCTCCCTAGTTTGTTTGTGCTTGTAAATATATATGATTTTCTACTGTTTTCTGGTTTACTAATTCAATTGACGTTGGGAGAAAAAGGTGTTGCTTATAAGAAGTGCACAGTATAGATAACCATTTGACGTCGACGCAATTTAAGTTCAGACTGTAGCGCCGTTAGTTTCCGGAGTAATTAGAGTTTTATTATTAAATGTTCTTTTCTCCTGAAAAATGGATTGCAGGTGCCAAAATCTGGAGATGTTGACTTGTCCATCATTGCTCGTGGAACCCCTGGATTTTCTGGCGCCGACTTGGCCAACCTTATCAATGTAGCAGCTTTGAAGGCTGCCATGGACGGGAAGAAGGATGTAAGCATGACAGATTTGGAGTTTGCCAAAGACAAAATTATGATGGGGAGCGAACGTAAGTCTGCAGTCATATCTGAGGAGTCTAGGCGACTCACTGCATATCATGAAGGGGGTCATGCACTTGTTGCCATATTCACTGAGAGTGCTTTACCAGTTCACAAGGTCACTATTGTACCACGAGGAATGGCGCTTGGTATGGTCACTCAGCTCCCTGACAAAGATGAAACTAGTTTCTCACGTAAGCAGATGCTTGCACGTTTGGATGTATGCATGGGTGGACGCGTTGCAGAGGAACTTGTGTTCGGAGAAGGAGAGGTATTTGATGTTCTTATCTTTTCATGGTCTTTCCTTTGCAATCTATATGTGTTCATTTCTGTTAACTATTTCTCTATGTTCTTCCCCTTAGGCGCGAATTTTTGCAATCAGTTATAATTATGTATCTGGGCACTGCCGTTGGTGGTAGATATTATGTATTGTCTATCGATGCGCAGACTGCAATTATTCTGTAGCCGAACATTGTATATGTTGCTAGTGATTAGAAGAGGCAACAGACTTGAATTATCTAAGAAGCGAGTTACTGCTTTGCAACAGGTTACATCTGGCGCTTCTTCAGATATTGTGCGAGCAACCAAACTAGCTCGAGAAATGGTTACCAAGTATGGAATGAGCAAAGCAGTAGGTGTGGTTGCCCACAATTATGAGGATGATGGTAAATCAATGAGCACGGAGACCAGGCTGCTTGTTGAAAGCGAAGTCCGTGAGCTCCTACAGACTGCTTACGAAAATGCAAAAAGAATACTTAGTACTCATCAACGCGAGCTTCATACTCTAGCCGCTACTCTCTTGGAACGTGAAACTATGACTGCTGTAGAAATCAAAACGTTATTGGCGCAAGTGAAGGAGCAAGCTAATAGAGCTAATATTCCACTCTTTAGTCCTCAGCAAATTGTACCAACAACCACTGCACAGGTTGCCCAGGCAGCAGCAGCTAATGCGGCAGCTGCGGTGGCAGCCGCTGCCTCAGCAAAAACGAAATCTGCCGCTCCTGCTGGGACTTGATATTTGAATTAGTATTGCATCGCTGCGTAACTTTGAAACCAATTTGCCGCTCACCTGCATAGTTTATCAGGATATATTGTGTGCTGCAAGGGTCAAGAATCTCCCTGAACTTCAGGTTCTCTGCACAGTGTGAGACGTCCACTGATGGTGATGGCGGCTAAACTCGGCTTGCTTCTCAGCATGTACGGAATTTCGTCTATTTGATAACTAGGGTGTAATTAGTTTGACGCTGTACATGTCTGTTAAGTTCGCAGTTATTGGTTTTCACAAGACATATCAGCCCAACTGGAAGACAACGAATAATTGCTGTTAGTCCTATGTTGAATATGGATCTTGTGTGAGGCGTGGTTAATTTTTACATGATTATGTACTCTAGAATACTCAATTCAACATTTCTTGTTGGAATTGTCTGCAGATCTGTGAAAGAGCACAAGATTGCTGAATCATTTTGTTATCAAGCATTCCGGTTCTTACATAGCTATTTCTTTACACTTATTACATTTGTCTCAATGACAAAACCTGCATAGGTACTTGTTTGAGCTTTCATCAAAGATTTTATAAACTTTCAATGCTACCAAATTCAGTGTGAGCCCAAGTTATCGTGTAATCTCTGTAACAATCTTTGCATTATGATATGTGATTGTGCATGCCACCTGAACAATTGGCAGGAAAAGCCATGAGTGAAACCTGCAACACCACTGGCAAACTGCAGGTACTATCTTCACATTCCTATTGCTGCAATGGTTAAGACCAGAGCTACCCTACCTCCACCTCCAGTGGAAACCTATCTGCCAGACTGTTCCTTACAAAATACTGTGGAGTATCATAGGTGTGGGCTTGAAAGTGTTGTAAATACTGAAATTTGTAAAGCTATGGATACTTGGGGAATTCTATGTGCATATATATATATATATGTATATGTATATAGAGTGTGAGAGAGAAATCTGAATAATTAGAGTGGAAACTAGGAATTAAAACTCTCCTGATTATAATCGCCCGCGGCATATCCACGGAGCGCTCTGTTCTCTTTCTCACGTTCCCCAATGGCTGTAAAACAGATTCAATAATATAGGTGCATTAAGGCTAGAATATATGCATCATGATCAGACAAGCTTCACTACCTGCTAGCAGTCGGATGGTACAAGTTTTGGCGTCAGGTTCTGTTGCCACAGGTCAAGACTTGTGAACTAGAATCGCTGTCTATTGCCATCTTCGGAAGCTGACGATGATGCTGGTTTTAGAAGCCACTGTTTGGACATCTTCACTCCGTTTCCTGCGGCATGTCGCTGGAGTAAATGGCCCTTATACTCCTCCCAAGTGAACGACGGCCGGAACTTCAAAGGGTCATTAGCTGTGATAAGCTGCCCCGGTATCTCAATCGCTGCTTTCATTGGAGGTGATGCAAAGTACACCATCGATAACCGAGCTGCTGATTCGTTCACCACAGCCCGATGCTCCACACTTCGGAACCGTCCATTTGTCCAAGCCTGAAGGAATTCGGCAGCAGCACACGATAAGAATGGGCTGCAGTCTCTAGACTAAAACAACGCTTGAGTACATTCGTTTTGCAAGTTGCACCACGACTACATACCATGTTCGAATAAGAATACCTTACCCACGATGGGCCAGAACCCAATGGTCTAGGTCCGAGGAAGTAACAAATATGTGAGTAAAGCAATAAAAACAGCTAAACTTTCAACACTTGAAGCACAACTGGATCCCAAATATTTGATCAGTGCCCTCGAAAACATTCTCTTGGGCTTCTTTCGTGAATCAGAACAACACGCAAATATTCACCCTGTTCAGAGTGTTGTGATCGTATTTCTCTTGCCATTGAGGATCAGGTGTCGTCAAAGAGAAAAGACGGTGACTTATGGGACTTAAGGGGCCGGAGTTAATGCTTCTCGAAGTTGCACACGAACGAACGGCTCCATGCATTGAACTGCGAGAGATCGATTAGAAGTGCCAAGGCAGGATCAGGTGACTAATATAAGGGAGAAAAGAACAGGATAATCCGTACCATGGTGATACAGAACCACGAGAGCATCGACACATGCAGTCGCTCGGGAAGCAGCGGGGTGTGAATCGAAGGAAAGTAGCCCTCAAATAGGAACACACAAGGCCAGCGCTGCGCCAAAGTATCCTGAGCTAGCCAAAAAAAACTATCCTCCAGAATTGCATTGAACCTTCACTTCATATTCAAAAATATATTCTCACAGATTCCTTATCCACTAAAGCTTGCTAAGATCTCCGTTATAAAAATATCTCGCCACTTCCGATGCTCACGACAGTGAAGCAGACACTCCCCATAATTGAGCAGTTGGACATACGGTGCCTTGCCAAATTCGGCACTTCCAATTTCTAAACTTTGCCATCTCCCTCTTTGTGCGAGCTTATACGTGACGTCAAGCTCTAACGTGGATACCGAAAAGGTATTTTGACTTCTTCACTCGGCGGGTGTCTAACTAAAGGTTGATTCTCCAACGATAATGCCGGGAGTGATCTGCATGTCGCTATTTTAAAACAATAACTTATTTTTCGGTGTAAAGGTGTAAGCCACTCATTGTTCAAAATGAAAAGGAAAGAAGAAAAATGATATTAACCCGTCGAATATCATCTAGCATACGGAGCACCGAGAAATTCTTCACGCCAGCAAGATTACTACGAACTATATGCACGAAAAAGTAAAAAAACACACCCTGGCAACAAACACGTCATCACCTGGAGCTAAGGAGTATTTACATGCCACAAGTAACAAATTTCAGAGTTCAGTCAGGTGTGAGGTAATTGCTACAGTGATGCACATGCCAGCATTGAATCACGTGCAGGTCCCACTCCATTTAAGAAAGCAAGTCAGAGCAACTGAAGCTCATCCTTCGCAAGAAGATAGATTGATGCACAGGAGAGACTTCACAAAAGCCGGAGATTATAGAAAAAGGTGGCGATATCAAGGGGGTGTTAGACACAAGTTACAAGAGGTACTGAGAACTTACCTCAAAAGTGTCGCCGATATTAACGATGAGCATGTCAGGTTTCGGCTGCACAGAGATCCAAGTGTCGTTCCGGAGAACCTGCAATCCGCCCACTTCGCATTGACTTAATATCGTTAACAGGTTGGGATCTGTGTGCGCTCCGAGACCCAAAGTGAGGGACGAAAGAGGACAAGGAGGGTAGTAGTTCATGCGGGCGATGCAGTCGCCAGCGGTACCACCGAAGGGCTTGGTGAAGGTGTCTTCGGCAATGCCTAGCCCGATTGCACAAAGCTCCAGTATTTTCCTGGCAAGCTTATCCAACCGGCTGTTATATACCTCTATAGTATTACTGCACAACACATGCACATGAGCAACGTCAGAAATTCTCGGTAATCGATTTCGGAAGGTGTTGACGCAGTTTGGCGTTCAAAGGTAATTTTAATGTGAAATCTTGTTTGCTTCACTCGTGACAACATGTGCCAATGCACGTGATCGGAACGTCTTGAAGGCATTAGTTCGTTTTCGTTATGAAATTATCATGCTTCAAAACAAGGAAGCAAAGCAGGCACATCGTCGCCACATGCGATGGAATTCAAGGAGCTAAAAGTTTACATGAACTCTTCGGCATCGGAGGGGCAAAACACCTTCTCCATGGGCTCGCGAATCTCACAAGCAGGGCTCCAGCGGCACTGAAAACGATCGATCCAGGGCTTGCCAGCGTAGTAAAATCCGCTTTCGACGCCATACCCGAATCCTTCGTACTTGCTGGAGCTTGGAACTACCCCTTTCTCCTTTTGCTCTAGTGGCATCTCAAAGAATTTGAGCGCTTGGTTCTGCATTCTCTTGATGATCTCCGCGGAAACCCCATGATTAGTTACTAGCACAAATCCCCATTCCGAAAACGTTTTTGCTAGCACTTCCGCCGTCTTCTGTCGCTGTTCCGCGTCCCCGGTTCGAAAATCTGATAGATCGACACAGGGTAGCTCCTGAGCCAAATGGAAATCGTCATGAGGAACGGAGGGCCATTGGTCCTTCGGCCAGATGAACTCCGATAAGCCAGATGTGGCGCCTCGCAGAAGTTTGGATTTCACAACCTCGGGACGCAACCCCGAGTAATTGTCGCTTAGTCCTCGAGCCAGTGTGCTAGGTTGTATCAAGTCATTCGAAGTTTCCTGCATGAATGCTTTCGTAGCGACAGGATTCATGGGTTGGGCCACTGGCGTGTTCGTGCAACGGAATCAACACTTCGCTCAAGATCTCGTGATCGATTCAGCCTACGTACACTATCAACTCCCGCTCACAATCTACATGCAAGAAAATTCAGCTAGATTAACTAAGTAGCTAACTTAAACCTTCCCCGAACAACTAAATAACAAGTATAAACCAATGACTTTCGTGACTTGGATGTGAATCAAATTCAATCTGAGAATCTATTGCTACATATGAATGCAGGAATGTTCACAATTATTTTTCCTAAGGGTTTCAGCGAGTGACTGCAAGGTGAGTGATTACACAAAGCCCAGAAACTGTAGGAGTTCTACGGAAGATTCAGGACGTCTCAAGCTCTCTCCAGAGAATAAGACACAGTAAACAAAGAAGTTGCAGTAAGTCCGATTTCTAATTATCCAAGCATCTCCGGTGTCTTAAAGTAAAAATATGCAATAGTGATCTGTTGTAGATGGGTTGGAGTCAGGACTACGATCTAACACACCAGATAATGAGTATCCTTCGGAGACTCAAGTGACAACCGACGTACAGGACGTCCTGGAAAGAAGTTCGAAATGATCAGGAGGTCGAAGAGAGCGACTCTGCTCAGGTTGCGTTGCGAATCAGAAGAATCATACTGCGCTTGTGGAATGCACAGAGAAGATTTTCAGTGAACCACGAGCAAAAGGTAAGCCCAACACAATAAAATATTAAAACTAAAAAAAACTCGCGCTGACTTCAATCACTTCCCCGTTCACACCGACACGAAACGGTACAGAACGTGCTCCCTCTCGGAATCCAGCCACAAGCTGGATTGCTAAGTGAACCCTTTCTCTTCTGTTCCCCTTGCAAGTTTTCACTTGACTGTCGAGGACTGCAGCTACCTTCCAACTCGCAACACGACAAGAATGGGAACAGTCACTTAGTCCAGCTGGTGTTGGCAATCACTCAAGGTAAAGGATGCTTTTACGAACTGAGCTTGGATGGCATCACACACGCACACACACAGTATCCCAGCTTCTGTGTGATGTATGTGGATGTGGCACAGGCTGCTTCTGATCCAATCGATGATCAACTGCAGGCCCAGGAACTGTTCATCATACAATCTGCAGCGATGTGGAGGGTGGAGGAGTTTGCGACGGGACCAGTGTTGGTGGATATGATACTTGAATCCTTTTAAAGCCGCTGCGCTGCTCGATCGCCTAGCATAGAAGTGGGGCCGCCGGTGGTGGCCAGGATAGGAAAAGAAAAAGAAAAGCACTTGGATTTGTTGAACTTGCGCTCAAAATTGCCCGAAGTGGATGAAAACCAGAGAATTAAATATTGATGATCTATGTTGCCGACTAGATGAGCTGGCGAAGGTCCACAATAGCTGCTAGGGATTGTCAATCTGTCCATGCTGGCAAACGAAGCAGCAAATCGATGCACTCTTGCAGCAGCTTGTTAAGCGCTAGCGGCAAGAGGAAGAGATGATGGGAAGGCAACTCGTCATGCATCTACGCATGTATGGAGGTTACTAGTTTGTGATGTCATTGCAAATTCGACATGTCGTGGCACCCTGACTTTTCATGGCAATTGAGACAAAGGAAGATATGAAATCCCTACTTTGAGTAGATGAATCGAAGAATAGCTCCGGAACCTTCGATCGTGTATTATCGTTTATAAAAAAAATATCTTTTTACACCATGCCATGTCATAACAAAAGTTGTATTTCAACGTGAACCTATATGAAGGTCCAGCCACATTTGGCCTTGTGGCACGGCAAAAAAGTAAGAGGGAAATATGAGTAGAAACTTGTTCAACATGATGACATACCCGATGCCGTGACCTGAAGAGTTCCACGGCTGCACTACAATGAATACTGAACAACTCAAATTCAGTACTCTTGAGAGAGGTTAAAAATTTCATTGTCTAACCTTTCATCGCTTATTTCTCACCTGTCTTGTCGGAATTGGCCTGATACCTAGTCTTGTGTGACCGGGCCACGATTCATAACACTAATTCCAAAAATAATCTCCAGATGTGATTTACAATGAGCTTGTCGGTAAATGAAGTCACATTTTTATCATTCTGAGTTGCAGGCTTTGTTTAGAATGCAAATTGCAAAGCGAAACACGAAAAGTCTAGTGAAGTTGATTCATGAACAGTTGTAAATCATGTTTATCCTTAAGTTTACTGGTAGAAATACCCAATCCTGCAGGCAGAAGTTTCAATCCACTTGTAATGCCCGTCTTACCTAGATCAAATTAATTTAACACAGATTTGTTCCCCGGATGCTGTTACATGAGGAGCAACCACACGCAAGACCCTGTCTCAGGCTATCTACCCGTGGTCCAGAGCTCCATTCCAGAAAACAACCTTATTTAATTATCTAACAAACAGGGGACATGAAAGGTACGAGAATCACAAACACCCACGCATTATACATAACAGTCATGTGCACAACGACCAAAGCTGCTTTCATCGACTTCATTCAGTCTGTGACGCAGCGTGGGACCGAGGTCAAATGCTTACGATATGAAACCCGGCGGACGCACGCCTCACGGAGTCAGCTCGTGAGCAAGGCCAGGTACATCCCCATGCAACTTGTGGTGGTGGGCACAAGTGTAATCGACGGAGAGCAATTTCCATACTTCCTCCGTGCCAAGACACGAGTTGAAAACCTCGGGCTAGCTTCGGCGCCGCAATGCGCTGCAAGTTAGGTAGGATCCGTCACTGACCGCATCAGCTGCATCACTGACCATGATTTGATTCAGCCGTGCCGGAGGACGCCAGGAAGAAAGGCACTCCAGTTTGCAGAGATCAGATTGTCTAGACAAAGCTTCAAAGCAATGGCGACCACCCCTTCAACTCCATTCAGGATTCCAATGTAGATGCTCTCAAGGTTACCGCGCTCCCATACCCTTTCGTCCCGAGCGATCAGCCTTACGGTGGCGCTTATCGGCGCTGATCGGAGCTGATGGGAGCTCGATATCGATCGCCGAACATTCAAAAACCCCTTGAGCGCACAACTTTTCTGAACTGTTGGTTTGTTTTAAAAGCTGATTAACTGTAGAACAAATAATGTATTAGGGTAGATCGATGAGATTATCAATTGCTTATTAATGCTCCTTCGTGAGATTATCCATTAGTGAAGATTCGTGTACGTTGTGACTCAATATGGATTCCGCAACAATCTCTCTACTCATTTGTCCATGTGATAGATATGTGCCACGCTCAATTAATAAATGATGGACACATTTATACAAAACCCTAGGTAATTAATAGCTATACTATATGCGATGCCACACTACTTGTCGTCGGTGAGAATGGACCTATTTGTCGTCCCCACCTACTGTAAATGCGCTGTCGAGTTATCATTGGTTTTGTCGTCCTTCTTTGGTACTTTCCTTGTTCATTCTTTTCTTTTATTTCACCGCCAATTCTTTCCCTCTTGCTTTCTTTCTTTGTTGTGGCCTTATTTTTGGTTCTTTCATGTGCGTGCGTTTCAAAGTTGGACGATGGCGAATGGAAGTATTTGTACGAGTTCTTGGTCGTAACTTTCCACTTGCGATGAACTTTAACGTTACAATGTCTATCTATATTAATATTTTAAATGGAGACTAAGATCTATGATACGTCCGTAAAATTCTTTTAGAAATGCATTGCTTTATGTAAATGCAAATCGTAATATTCGGTGGAATTTAGAAACGCATCTTCAGTTCTGAGTAAACAATCTCATATATATACCGATTTCTCTTTATTGTTGTTTTACTAGAGCGTTATGAATTAGTCCATACATTTGTTCACGAAATGTAGAGAATAATCACAGTTTTCCAAATATAAAAAATCAGACCAGATCTTGTGATTTCAAATTATTATAATTACCTCTTGATTGAAATTTTCTAATTTTTAGTTTCGAAATACCTTTCATTAATCAAATAATTTGAAAGAAAATGCTGCGAAAATGACTGTAGATCATCAATAACTACAGAATATGTCTTGTACGCTGCACAATGAACGAGTAAGGAAAATATTATTCATGTTTTGCTTTTGACATGTAAAAATTGTGCACAACATTACACCAATGAGACTGCGGCACCAGATCAAATCCTACGAAAAATGTCGAATCTAACTCTCATTCCTTCACATATTGAATATCCGTTTTTCAAGATTTCAAGTATCATATCAACTGTACTTTCTTCACCATCGACTCTTGTGATAAACCAAAATAGTCAATCACAACAACACCTTCAACAACCCTTGAAAAAATAACTAAATGTCACGTAACAGAAAGACGTTCGGACCTATCTACCATTACACGATTAGCCGCTCCTTTCAAATCGTACCAAATAATTTATCTAAATCCATCCAAGTGTTCCCACATTGCACCTACAAATTCTACACATCACCTTCACAGCACTTGAAAAAAACATTAAGAATAAATAATAAAATAATAAAATAAAATTATAGTAAAAATTAAAGAAAAAAATTATGGATATACCTCCAGCAATGTGAACGAATCAGAGATATCCTCAACTTCTCAACAGGAACGAATCAGGATGCGAAGGCTACTAGCCAAGACGGAGGTCGGAGGCGGCGGAGTTAGGAATCAAAAGGAAGCTGCGAGGCAAGGCGAGGTGAAAAGCATGAGGCGCAGCTGCTATAGGGGCACAGGAGGGGGAGAAGTACAAGTACCTCTCCACTTGGACCAGCAAGCGAAGAGGAGAAGCAAGAGCAGGTGACGACGAGACGAGAGTGGGAAGACGCAAAAGAGCATTGGCAACAACACAAAAAATGAGGGAGACTTTACTTTTGCTGTACCCACCTTTGATTAGCTGATAGCTTGACCAACTCGACACCCTGACTGACTCGATGCCCTGGATGACTTGATACCCTGCCTTATACACCGTCGTTACTCCTATGTCTTGTGATCACAAAAATAACCATCTAAATGTCATCGCTTTTTTATAATTATAGAATTAATAAAAAATTAGAAATTTTCAATTAAGAGGTAATTACTACTATTAGTATTTAGTATTAAATATCATATCTCTACTATTAATATTTAGTATTAAATATCATATTTCTACTGTTAATATTCAGTATTAAATATTATATTTAATACTACTATTATAATAAACTAATCGTATCATTATAAGTTAAATTTCAATATATAAATATTTGAAATTGAAAATACAAAAATAATTTAAATAAAAAATTATTATATTTTTTATATTTTAATCTGAATAAAATATGTGGGCTCTCAATTTAATTTTTATCTATAATGTTAAAATATCAAATATAAGAACATTTCATAAATATTTCATAATTTCAACTTTTGTCTGTTTATTTATTTATATTCACATGTGCTATGTAACAAATTCTACACTCATTATTGAATTCTCAAAATATATATATATATATATATATATATATATATATTAATGTATTTTAATTCATTACAACACATGGTTTTTTTTATTTTAATCCTATTGACTATTTCAATTCAGGTCAAAGACATATTTCTATTTAAGGTTAAGATTGTGAGATAGAAATACTATATTTAAAGAATTCGCTATATTTAGTAGTATACAACCTTCTTATTCGCCATTTTGTGTGATTTTATAATCTTGAAAAAATTTCATAGGGTTTTTTGAAACGAAAATGATATTACAAGATATTTCAAAACTATACTTGTTTATTAGTAATTATTGTATTAAAAACTCACAGGTAAGCACACAACTACTTCATTAGCTTGTGAATGTAAAACCATGATTAGCAAGAATATTCCACTAATATCTATTCTAATTTGTATTTATGAAAGTTTTTACAATGACTTGTAGAAATCAATTTTTTTTCTATACTATTTTATATAATGTCTTTTAATATTATAAAGATTAATTTTTACATTTATTATTTTTTGTACAAACATTCA